TGCAGTCGCAATTCATTGACATAACAGATACAAAATTTAAATCATAAAGAAGGCCACAGTCTTCATATTACCTGGTCATGTATAGAATCCAGATAAGATTTAGCCAACTGCGAAACTGGATACTGAGTAAAGTCCCAGTTATGCAACACCCTTGCTGGTATGATTGCAATTTCATTTGTATGGCACGACGAGCAAAATAATTGACCAGTATATTCACAAAGTCGAGGCTTGCCCCATCCAAATGTCTGTGCAAAATCCCGTATCAAAGTCTTTCCATCATCAAAATGCTTGTGACATCCAGCACAAGTATAATGTTGTGCTTCTAGCATCTGCTTCAAAGATTTGTATTGTCGAATTTCAACAATAAGTGATATGGTCTTTCCCAAAGTGGAAAAGTTTTCGGTGTATGCCCTTTTAGTATTAGAGTCGGACACATTTGATGCCATGGAGCTAGGAAATGAATCTTGAGGAGACAAAAACCATATTAATGCACTCGGTGGACTGGAAAAGAACCTGTAATGGAGAATGGATTGCAGACACTCTTGAATGAGAACACTTCTCTCTGCAACAACATCAGGAGATGCATTTCCAAAAATCTTTCTAGATTCCTTTTCTACAGAAGACCAGAGAGAAGGTAGATTCCAGCCATGGTCAGCAAACAATGTTTTCAATCGACGATAGAGTGTATAGAAATCACGATATCGACGTTCAACCTCCCATTGATCCTTGCCACTCCACACTTTTATTATATACACAGTATATTCCTTCACTCCCACCAGTCTTTCACTGAATGAGACATCTCCCTTCTTCTGCCTTGCACCTACCACTTCGACCCCATCAATTCTCAATGAATTCTGATTGAACAAGTAAGCATCATCTGTGCCAGAAGTAGAAGCAGTCGATCCACCATCTCTCAACGGTAGAGATTGCTGTGACTGTAAAATCCTGTTACCATGAGCGAACCTTGCCCCTGGGGACTCAGCAGAGTCGAGCAGAATTTCTTCCATCTCATTAACAACCTCATCGTAGAATTCATTTAGCTCAAAATTATCTGTCTGCAGCATTAGTAAAAGAGGAAATTAGCTAGAGACAACTTCACACACAAATATTCGTATATGGATAAGATCAGATCAGACTGCCATAGCACATAACCACCAATATCATAAACCAGATATTCTCTTGCAAAAGGTAGTTGGTGCAATAACTAGTAAACAAACCATGCCCATGAAAAGTCTTGGAAAGCCATTTACATAACTAAACAAGAACACAACATAAAACCTAGTAAATACTTGAATTTAGAAAGATCAATATAGACAGGAATACTTGATATAAAATAATGATAATAAAATCTGAAAGATCATCACTGTGATGCCTACCACAATAATGGAGCCTTCTCAAAGCTATGAGTTATATTATCCTACAAGTAACACGAGTCTACCAGTTTAAACCAACCAACACAACCCCGCCCCCCCCTCCCCCCCACAACAAACACACACACACACCCCAGTTGTCAATGTGCTAATTTACCAAAACACATTGTGGACAACTCCATGAGACATAACCAAGTCTACAAACTTAACAAGCATGACTGACCTTAACGGGCTTAGGATAGTTTTCAAAGAGATCTTCTGAAACAGAACTTTCCCTCATTTTATTTTCAAAAATTGATGTCGGCATGCTTGGCTTATCGTCTGCAAGGAATTTCCCCTTCATTTTTCCAGGAGGTCTGGTTGCATAGATGCTAAGCTGATTAGTTGATATATCAGAAAGGGGATTTGGTTTAACTTTTAGATTCCCCAAATTTTTGTTTTCTAAATCTTGACCATCATCAATCCCAATGACATCCCCAGCATTCACACGTGTATGCGCATTAGAAATGCCGTCATCCATAATGTTTAAACCATTTTCATCAGGACTTTCTTTTGCTGCTTCGTCAGGACCTGGATTTTGATTCTTGGTCAAAGGAATGTCTCTTGAACCTTCTTGCTCTGGTTCTTCAACATTTTGAAAACCAGTTGGGGTTGTAAAAGAACTTTCGGTAAATTCAATCGGATCATCAATAGCTTGGACTTGATAACTGGCCACAGGAATGTCCCTCACATCTTCTACTCTTTCTGTTTCAATAATATTTGGAGAACTAGCAGGGACCGTGGAACTATTAACATATTCTGCCAATTTCTTATCAGCTTGAACTAGTTGGCTTTCTGTGGGCACGCTTGTCACATATTTTCCCTGCTCAGTCTGACATGTACTCTGACGCTCAACTGAAGCGAGGGAAGTGGAATTTGAAACTTTCCTTTCAGTTTCAACCTTCTGTTCTATCTGGCGCTGGAACACATTCCTAGCTAAAGAAGCTATATTACTTCCGTCGCTTTCTTGCACAAAATCATCCCAATCATCCGAACCAAAGGCTACAGATGAGTTGATAAGAAACGGATTTTCATTCTCTGGTTTTGCTTTCTGATGATAGTGCACATTCCTCCGTTGACTAAAGCCACTCTTCTCATCATCTGAACCATACATAGACCCCTCATCCTCTGAGTACTCATTTCTAGATGAGGTTCCTTCTTCCCTATCAATCTCTCTTCCATCAAATTCCGAAGTACAGAACTCCATTTTTACCCCATCAAACTCTTCAACCTTGGGTACAAATTGGGAACTAGTTCCAACCCAATTCGAATCATTAGTCTCTCGGGCCACCACACGTTCAAATTCAGCATTAGCTTTCCCTTTTCCTACAACTCCTCTCTGCACTTCCATGCCCTTTTCACTGTCTTCATCACTATTATCCGAACCATACTTCAATTGTGAAACCCCCCTTAAACCCGACGATCCACTCTCAAGCTTCCAAGACATCAATTCATCTAAACCATCAACTCCATGAGCATCCTCATTGCCATACAATTCCAACCCACTAGACCCATAGTTCGTATTCCGCCGACATTCAATACTATCATCCTCCTTACAAAACTCAATCCTACCACTACCTGAAACTCTCCGATCCTCTCGATTTCTCTCAATCCTCCCTCCCAAACTAAAATTATCCAAACCACCACTCTCGTCCACAAAACCCGAACTTTTTAGCGACCCGAATTCGGGCTCCGGAAAATCATTGAATACCGTGATTGTGCTGCACATGCTCGGCGTGCCCATAACCGAGTTGGCGCTACAATAGCGCTCGTACTCGGACTCGCCGAACGACGAGTACCGCGACGGAGGAGATCGGGGCGAGGCATCGCCACCGTCACCGTCCGATTTGCGATCGAAAGAAAGGGACGGATCGGGAGAGGCGGCCTCGGCAGTCGTCTCTCCATTGATCATTGGAGAGTCATAAATTCGAGTTCTTTACAGATGAAATTGAGAGAGAAGAGTCGGAAGAGTCAGAAGTAGACCTGGGAGGAATCGACGACTTTGATTCGATTGGACGACGGAATTCCGATGGAAATGACCGCAGTTGATGGCAGCCCGGATTGTGAAGTGCGTTCAGCGTTTGAGATTTAGTAGCAGCGAGGATTGAATAAGAGGCGGGACGTCGGCAGAGAGAGACGAACAAAGTTTGAATTAAAGATGAAGATGAAGAAGATGATGAAAAAAAATAGAAGGTAGTTTTTAGTTTCAGGTGGAGCTGTGTAACTTGCGACAATGTCGAATTTTTATTTTTGTTCTTAATGCATATGTAATTTATTTTTCTTTTTTAATAAGAAAAAAAAATTAAGCAACGGTAATTAAGAAAATAAAAACATTATTATTGTTGAAGCAATAATCTCGGGGACTTTCATGTGGTATTTTTATATTCGTTTGATTCATATTTTGTATTGTATTATAATTCCTGCTCATTTGTTTTCTATAAACCTTCCTGACTTTTCCCTTTCCTGTCGAGATAAACCTTCCTAAATTTCACCTACCAGTCTTGGTTCTCCTTTGGGTTTCGATATTGGGTGCCAAGCAAGGGAAGGAAGAGGGTCACAACCATTGACCCCGCTTGACAATCATATATACGAAGAAAATCCTAGATCATTAATCGGAGTACAACCCAAATTTTCATTCAATTTGAGTTTGCGTTGTCCAAGTACATAACAAGCACAAATAATCCATAAATTCAATTTGAAAATTATGCATAGTTGTTTGTTTAATCTTTTTAGCTGATACCATATTTGCGAAAAGTGTTTTAAAATAAGAAACTTACGTGTAATGAAGGGTCTTTTACTTTCAATGGAGCAAAATTCGAATTGAAAAAACAATTCTTATCGACAAAAATCAATCAAACATAGAGACATATAATATAAACATCATAATTGTCTTACAATGTAAAATTTCTGAAGAGTCTCACAGTTAGGAATTATGGATCAAAACAATTGTGTTCTATCATTAATTAATTTTGTGTCAACTCGAACCTGCACAAAGGGCAAATATGACCTTGTCTTAACCACTCCACAATGCAGTCTCCATGAAATATATGAGAGCATGGCATGCGAGTGACTCGAACCCCATGCAACATATTTTCCAAGCAAATCACTCTCACTCCATGCACCCCAACATCGAACACCAACTTCTCCAAGGCCTCAACCGATGCTTGGGATGCAGGCTTTGGTCTCAAATTCAAGTTCAAATCTTGTTGATCATCTAAGGAAGGCAGGACGAGAGAAAATTCGACCATATCTGACGATGATATTGCTTCGTCAAAAATATGTTCAGTAGGCATGAAATCTATGAGCCATTCTACATTCAAAAGATGGTCTATACCAACATCCATGAGGTTTCTGAGCCATTCATTCGATTGCAGGTCTGTCATATTGGAGTAGGATATTCAAAGACACGTAGAGGCAAAGTTTATTTGTGTGTGTTGAGAGGGAAGACGTACGGAAAGGATCCAAAGAGAGAGAGACATTTGGGAAGGAATTTCGTCATGGTAGTCCTACGAGGGCTAGGATATTACTACGTCTTCAATTTCACAAGGCCCATAACACTGTAGATCAAACGGCGTCGTGTCTATTGTGAGCCCATCGAGTTATAGCCAATTACATACAGTACCAACTCCCCATCTAAAACCCTAAACCCCAAACCGGAGCGAACCTGTAAGAAACAAAATACAAACCGAGCTCGCATTCTCGCTCACCCATGGCGATCAGTAGCGAAGCCCTGAACTCCCTGAAACTCACAGACCCAACGCAGTTACTGACGCCGAGCTCCGCGCTCTCCCAAACGGCTCGAACGGCCTTGCAGAACCTCTTCTCCTCCCTCAGACCGTTCACGCCCAAATCGCCATTTGATCAGCTGTTAACAGACGGCTTCGACGCCGAGCAGATATGGCAGCAAATCGACCTCCAATCTCAGCCGCTCATCTCGAGCCTCCGCCGAGATTTGAAACGGTTCGAGAAAAATCCGGACGAGATTAAGACGCTGAAGGTGCTTGTACAAGGCCAAGAGAAGGTTCTGGAAGCTGAAAATGAGGGTTTAAAGAACGAAATCGATGGTTCTGATGAGGAATTTGATGAATTTGATGAAGACGATGAGGAGGAGGAGGAGGAAGAGGAAGAGGAAGAAGAAGACGAAGAAGAAGGTGAAGAGAATGAGAGTGAGGATGAAGAGGAGGGAGAAGACAGTGAAGGTGAAGCTGAAGGTAATAATGGGATAGAGGATGGGTTTTTTAAGATAAAGGATTTGAAGAAGTCTTTGGAGGATAGTGAAGCTAGGGAATATGGGTTAATGAAGACTGAAAAGAAGAAGAAGAAGAAAAAGAAGAAAGGTAGCGATGATGATGATGATGATGATGATGATGATGATGATGATGATGATGATGATGATGAGGATGAAGAAGAAGATGAGCTGGTGAGGCCCTGCTTGAATTTTTTGTTGGATAGTTATTTGGTTTTTGGCTTAAGAATTTTGCTGATTTTGAAGCTTGTCTTTTTGGTTTCTAATTCGATTCATTTTGCCTATTTAGCTTGGAGATTTAGACATTGGCGATGATGAGGATGAAGAAGACGCAGACAAGTTTGCAAGGTGCTACATTTATGATTTATCCAATAATTTTGTTTTTCTTTTCTTTCTACGTTTATTGTACCACAATTAGTTGATTCTATGAATATGGATCGATCATTGACTGCAAATTCCTGGTTCCTCTGCATTTGTTTCTCTGATATATATCTATTTTATGTAATTCACCAGTGCATATCTGTTGTGGTCATGCATATATATATCCATTTAAATATGCTTCACTGCTGCTTCTCTGCTACAGATATGAAGACTTCTACGGAGGAAAAATATATTTTTTAATACAGAAGCAGACAACTCTTTCTACCCATGAAACGAAGCTTCAGAAACTTCGTTCTGAAATAGACCAGATGGAAAAAGCAAATTTGGAGCCAAAAAATTGGACCATGCGAGGAGAGGTAACATTGCTGTTTCTGATTTTCTTCTTTGGGACACTAATAGTCGTATTATGCATGTTGTGATACCCATGTATCTTTTAATGGATTACATATATCAATTATGGCTTTTGACAACAGGTAACTGCAGAGAGAAGGCCAAAGAACAGTGCGCTAGAAGTTGATCTAGATTTTGAACACAATGTTAGACCTCCCCCTGTAATCACAGAGGAGGTTACAGCATCGATTGAGGATATCATCCAGAAAAGAATCGAGCAGGTAATCAACATTTTTAATAGATACGCTCCAAGACTTTATTTTCATGTCATATTTTCTTATCTAAAATGTTAAGTTCAAAGTTCAGCTATTTCTAATGAACCACATTTTCATCAATCAACTCTACTGGAGGTTTTTTGGCACTTTATATTGATCACTATAGATTAGAAAGATTTTTTTTTTTCAATTCTCATTTTTTTCTAAGCTTACTCATTCTGTCATTATTTGATATTGTTGCTTGTTTCTTCTACTCTCTCTCTCGTTGTGTTTGTTTGTGGATTACAACCAGTTCTAAAACTGCAGTTGTGTTTTATAGGGGCGTTTTGATGATGTTCAAAAGGCTCCGACTTTACATTCTAAAGCACCAAGAGAAATTAAAGAGTTGGTAAGCATTACTTTTTGATAGAATTTTGATTTATTGTGTGTAAAATGAAGTAACTTGTTCAATGTGTCTAATCCTTTTGTTTAATACATAGGACGAGAATAAGAGCAAGAAGGGTCTAGCTGAAGTCTATGAGGTATGGTTCTCCTGATGCAAAATGCAATCACTTGATTTGCTGCCCAACCTTCCAAAGTTTGATCTCCTTAGGCTGGATTTCTGTCTTAGCATCTAAATGTGATACTTAACAAATTATTTTTCAATTTTGAGTAAAATATGCTGAGAAGCTATTTTTATTAATTTCTGCAGGACGAGTACGTTCAAAAGACGAATGTGGCTTCTGGTCCATTGTCATTCACAGACAAACAGAAGGAAGAGGTGCATGTTTTGATTGTTCTTCCATGTTACTAATCAAAAGTTAACGTCCTTATCTGTATCTAAAGGTGCTAATTATTATTCTTGTGGTCGTTATCTTTGACCAGGCAAGCAAGCTGTTCAAGAAACTTTGCTTGAAGTTGGATGCTCTTTCTCATTTCCACTTCACTCCAAAACCTGTATGCTTCTCAATCATAAAATTTATTTATTTATATGCAGCGTATACGTTTCTAATTTGTGGGCATTCATGTACTTGCTATATGGTACCTGGGATAGGTTATCGAGGATATGACTGTACAAGCTAATATCCCCGCTCTAGCGATGGAAGAGGTAATGTGAACTCTGCATTTCCATTTTCTTTTTATATTTTTTTCTATCACAAATGTCTTTGGAAAATTGACAATCATAATATCTCTCCTTGGGCAGATTGCACCTGTGGCTGTCTCTGATGCAGCAATGCTAGCGCCTGAGGAAGTGTTTTCAGGCAAAGGTGATATTAAAGAAGAAGCAGAACTTACACAGGCAGAGAGAAAGAGGAGGAGAGCTAACAAGAAAAGGAAATATAAAGGTA